GCAGTAGTTCACATGGCTTTATTAATATTTTGATGAGTTTAAGCAAATTCATAGCTGCTTTGTTAATTAACTTAGAAATTCAAGCAGCTGGCACATCAACTCAATGGAGGAGTGTTATAGTAAGCTGTCCCTGTAACTAAGTGTTCCTGACATTTTGTTGCAGTACTTGTATAACTGCCTTTGTTTTTAATGTCATCTAAAGAGCCTTTCTGAAACACAGTTGCTATCATTAAGTGAAAGCCAAGTTAATAATTACATGTATTGACCTCCTCTCAAATCTGTAGTTTTCATGGGATAGAGACAAATATGATATACATGTATGATAAAAATTTTAATCAAATAGTAAAGATATTTCATTTTTTCAATATATTCTTAAAGAATGAAAACTGCATGCTTTTTGTCAAATAAAATTGTATGTATAAACCGGGGGCCCACTTAATAATCTGCACCACAAGTTGTGAGAAGTTAAAGTAAATCTATCAAAAATGTAATATCTGCTGTTATAAGAATGCATCATATATATTACAATTCTCTTTATCTACCCATCCAATTCAGCTCTTGACACATAAAGATAACCTAATGATATCATCAAAGAACTTGACATTTCTAGTAAGTCCCTAATAACTTTATTCAGTTCAGTAAACTCCATATGCCACACCATTGTTTTTAAGATGTTTTGTAATTTATGAGGACTTTTAAATATCAGTCTACATGCTTTACTGATTGATAAACAGAAAAATATTTGGACAAGATATTATAGAGATTGTTCTCCGTGTGCTATGATCAGTGAGTCGTGTCGATATTTCCTTGTATCGTTGGGAGTCAGTAAGGCAGATTCCCTGTAGACAGTATACAGGTGATTATATGTTCGGGGTATATTTAGGTTGTACTTCTTGTGAGGTAGAAGATTCCTACTGGATGTATACAGGTGATTACCACCCCCTTGTAGAGGTAGGACAAAAATTTTGTCAACTTATTACAGAACAGTGTGTGGCTGTAGTCTTACTAGTACAGTAAAACATGCTTATAATATAGTGAACATTCTTATAATGGATAGACAGTTACAGCAAACAGTCATAGTCTGAAGGAATTGACAGTTAAAGTAAAGACATTTTTAGCTCACCTCGACGAATTCGAGATGAGCTTATGCTATACCCCCGGCGTCGGTGTCAGCATTAGCATTTAGCATTTAGGGATGGACACTACTACCAGACTTGCTTCGGATGCTGGATGTGACCTACATTTTCCAGATGAGTGACCAGGTTAAAGCTTTTGGAGCAGGTCCATTCCCAAGTAACTATAAGCCCTACCCGGATCATACTTGCATGGATGATGCATCTAGGGATGGACACTACCAGACTTGCTTCGGATGGTGGATGTGACCTACATTTTCCAGATGAGTGACCAGGTTAAATTTTTTTGAGCAGGTCCATTCTGAAGTAACTATAAGCCCTACCCAGACCAAACTTGCATGGATGATGCATCTAGGGATGGACACTACCAGACTTGCTTCGGATGTTGGATGTGACCTACATTTTCCAGATGAGTGACCAGGTTAAATTTTTTTGAGCAGGTCCATTCTGAAGTAACTATAAGCCCTACCTGGACCAAACTTGCATGGATGATGCATCTAGGGATGGACACTACCAGACTTGCTTGGATGCTGGATGTGACCTACGTTTGCCAGATTAGTGACTGGTTTAAAGATATTGGAGCAGGTCCATTCTGAAGTAACTATAAGCCCTACCTGGACCAAACTTGCATGGATGATGCATCTAAGGATGGATAATCAAAACTTGTTTCAGATGCTGGATCTGACCAACAATTTCCAAACAAATGATGAGGTTAAAGTTTTTGGAACAGGTCAATCCCCAATGAATAAGATCTATTTAAACAGAACTTGCTTGAATATTGTTTTCAAAATAAATACTTACTGTTAAAAAAATATGAGATTTGCATTACCTAAACTGATAACATTTGTCGAGGTGAGCTTCGTAATCTTTGATTACCTATGTTCATTCTCTGTGACTGAAAAATATATTGTAAAAATAGTGCATGGATATAAATTAAGTAAAAACACTTTCTCATAAGCATAATATATATTAACGTTCATGTGGACCTCTTGGTATTTACTTTGCAGAAATTCTGGAAGAGAAGTCAATTAACTTTTTCTTGTATTTGATTGCTTCCAGCAGGAAATCGTTGTAAGGTTTTATATTTACAACTATATATATATATTTGTTGAAGATTAAAGGGTTAGCCAAACAGTTAATGCCTTTACCAAAATAATGGTGAGAACCATTATGTACCAATTGAAGATAACGTGTAGCCTTGAGATGGTGAAGTCAGTGACCTTTGTTAAATTTTTAAAGCTAGGGGTCATTTACCTTTTTCTTTTTATTGCGGACTGTGTCAATATTTTCCTCTCCTGACTTTCTACATGCTTACATGTTCACTATCATGTATACATCTAACCTCCTGCTGAGTACTAGAAGTGTGATCCTTTGGGAAAAGTGTGTTCTTCCTTAGTTCAGGTCAGAGGAAGGAAACTATATAAACTTCCATCATCCCTGATGCAATATAACAAACCCAGAAATACTGCTTACCAGGGGCAGGCTCCTGCGATTGTCACATGTTAACCCATTTGATTAATTCTGAGTTGATTAATTGCTCCAATTTCTCATAAGTCTTGGAGGACATGAGGAAGTCTGGTGTAAGACAGGGTGATAATTTATATTAGTTATCTAAGACCTGCTGGAGACTTGTGTTCTGTTGTACAGTGAGTAGGGGACTTTCGGACTATTTATTTTAGTAATCCAAGACCTGCTGGACTTGTGTTCTGTTGTACTAGCGGACTTCTTGGACTTATGAAGTCTGTCCCAGGTTCTAAGTTCCCCCTCTTCCTGACCTGGCTAAGGTAAGTCCCACAATTAAAATTAATTCTTTATTATTATGTATTGTTTATCATAAAAAGAAGAATGGTTTGATTGTTGTAGAGCCTTGCTATCTCTCTGATTCCTGGTTTATAATGATTTATGTTACAGTCGATTTTCTTATCATACTATACATTAATTCATCATCAAGGGACTTTTGTTCTACAGTCACTGGTGCTTCCTTAACACAATGATTAGGGTTTCTCCAGTAATCCGTAGCGTAAATAAAAACCAAAATAATAAAGTCATTCTTTTCTTCTTATCTCAGTCTATGTACACCTCCATAAAATTAGAAATCTGCGCTTGATTAGCATAATGTCACAAATCCTTCATTTCATTCAGTCCATAATTAATTAAGGTGAGTCATTTTTAAAAAGTAGAGAAAGTAGTTTTGAATAAGGTGAGGACAATTGCATTTCCTATTTTCATGTTGAAGGAGTGAAACAATTTTCAGTTGGATCATATTCTGATTTTCTTTTGTGGATTGGAGTTTAAATTCTAGCTAATTTAAAGAGATAATTAGAAACTGAGTGGGCCCGTATGATTTGTTTTTGTCATAAAAAGTTAAATCATACAAAAAAGTGTGTCATTTTGTATGCAGTGTTGATGAATCGATGCGTCACAAATTTTAACGGATTCGTATATAGTGAAGGACTTCCATGTTATCCTCAGAAAAATGAGTACTTTACAAAATAATTCCACTCGGTACGGCACTGTCCGTATGTCTAAATTAATGAACATTTGGAAGTTTTTTATCGTTCGGAAACAGTATGTGGTCCATTCTGTTAACCAAAGGTAAGACAAGAATCTGATTCATAAATTTAAAAAAAATATCTAATATGTAAATAGATAACAGTTTGAATAATGAATAAACTTAATGATGGAGGTCACTGTCTATACAAGTTAGCAAATGATATTATTTCTTTTCATTGTAAATTGATACATTTTTACGAATATTCATTGAGAAATTAAGAATTTTAATACAGTACTGACTTTTTTATAAATAATGAATGTGAACAGCTCTTTGATCATGTGGATGTCGGAAGGGACCGTGGACCTCCGTAATAACTGGCCTATATATATTGATCAGTTCTTTTATGTCCATTAGTTGTCCATCAGTTCTGGGTAATCAGGTCAGATTGACCATTATGATTTATACCGAGTGGACCAATGGACCAGTGGAGCTCTTACCCAGTTTTACAAGGACTGATAGTACATATAGCCTACATCTAATATATTATACATAAGATAGCAACATTTCTGTCAAGTTAACAATGATCAGCTGCTGCAGAATTAGAATTTAAAAGTGAGTGTTACTAATGAGAAATTGAAGGTTCATTTTGTTTTGATGAAATCTGAAGTATCTCGGCTTGTTGTGGTTTATACAGTCAGTCTGCATTGAGCAGGGTTCAGTGCATTGTGATATTGTGATAGGAATGCACGTGCAGGTTAATATAGGAATAACAGGAACTGCAGAGTGACACACATTTATATTTATATCAATGTTGAAATGATCGTAATCATCAACCACAAGAAATAATTAGCATAGGGATCGGTGTCAATTAAGTTCTTTTCTTACCAACTATATAAAATTTGGACAGATTGACACATCATTAATGGTAAGAATTAATGTTCACATGAATATATGTATTATATGTTTTATTTTGAACCATTCAGTTTGTCTTCATTTGTTAATATTAAAGTTTGGAATTGTTACGATTTGTTCATTACTGAAATAAGGGTTTTATTTTTATTTTACACATAAATGCCATTCTCAATGATAAAGTCACTGCTAGCAAATGAATTTCAAGTTTATGGGTGACTGGAATTATATATTTAGCTGTGAAGTATTGGTCAGAGTTATGAGTTAAATTCCTCAGCTACAGAAGTCATTATAACGGTCTTATTTAAAATCGTGCCTCTAATTTAAGCTGTTGTAGGAGAGCGAGTCAAATTGTCATTTGTCACATGTTCTCTATAGGGACACCTTGTTTCCTGTTCATTATAAATAGGTGCAATTGTGGTTTAGAAATGAACTTCAGTTTGACTGTCTTTGGATCTATATTATAATTTACCTGTAGAATAATAAGACTTTTCCTTTTTTTTATGCCCCCCTTCGAAGAAGGGAGGGCATATTGCTTTGCTGCTGTCTGTCCGTCTGTCGGTCCGTCGGTCTGTCGGTCTGTCGGTCCATTCAGTTTCCGTTCATTTTCTTCATAACCGTTGCCCATACTGAAATGAAATTTGGTATACAGATATATCACATGAATATCTAGGCCAAGTTCTGTTTTGGGTACGATCGCACCATTTTTGACAGAGTTATGCCCCTTGGACTTGGAAAAATTTCAATTATTTGCAGTTTCCGCTCATTTTCTTTGCAACCGTTGCACATACTGAATTCAAATTTGGTATACAGATATATCACATGAATATCTAGGCCAAGTTCTGTTTTGGGTACGATTGCACCATTTTTGACAGAGTTATGCCCCTTGGACTTGGAAAAATTTCAATTATTTGCAGTTTCCGCTCATTTTCTTTGCAACTGTTGCACATACTGAAATCAAATTTGGTATACAGATATATCACATATATATCTAGGCCAAGTTCTGTTTTGGGTACGATTGCACCATTTTTGACAGAGTTATGCCCCTTGCAGTTTGAAAAAAATTCAATTATTTTCAGTTTCCACTCATTTTCTTTGCAACCGTTGCACATACTGAAATCAAATTTGGTATACAGATATATCACATATATATCTAGGCCAAGTTCTGTTTTGGGTACGATTGCACCATTTTTAACAGAGTTATGCCCCTTTGCAGTTTGAAAAAATTTCAATTATTTGCAGTTTCCGCTCATTTTCTTTGCAACCGTTGCACATACTGAAATCAAATTTGGTATACAGATATATCACATGAATATCTAAGTCAAGTTCTGTTTTGGGTAAGATCGCACCATTTTTGACAGAGTTATGCCCCTTGGAGTTTGGAAAAATTTCAATTATTTGCAGTTTCCGTTCATTTTCTTTGCAACCGTTGCACATACTGAAATCAAATTTGGTATACAGATATATCACATATATATCTAGGCCAAGTTCTGTTTTGGGTACGATTGCACCATTTTTAACAGAGTTATGCCCCTTTGCAGTTTGAAAAAATTTCAATTATTTGCAGTTTCCGCTCATTTTCTTTGCAACCGTTGCACATACTGAAATCAAATTTGGTATACAGATATATCACATGAATATCTAAGTCAAGTTCTGTTTTGGGTAAGATCGCACCATTTTTGACAGAGTTATGCCCCTTGGAGTTTGGAAAAATTTCAATTATTTGCAGTTTCCGTTCATTTTCTTTGCAACCATTGCACATACTGAGATGAAATTTAATATACAGATTAATCAGATGAATATCTAGGTCAAGTTCTGTTTTGGATACAATCGTGCCATTTTTGACAGATTTATGCCCCCTTGGACTTACAAAAAAATTCAAATTTGGGGGGAGGGGGGCATAAGTGTTTTACAAACATCTCTTGTTTTTTATTAGATAATAACATGTAATTATTGGACAGAACAATATTGGTGGTTCTGTTACAGCCAGGTAATGAAGTCCAAATTTTGTTATTTATTATAATTCAGAGGATCATTATAGCTCTCTTTCAACAATAAACATAAACATAAAGGATGTATTGGTTAGGAGCACGCCACTAGAGACATGAAAAGAATTACACAGATTTAACGATGGGGTCATTATAATTGTGATTGGATGATAGATTAGATGTGACAGGTGGGAGGCTGCAGGCTCTGCTACCTGTCGTTAATTACCTGGACGTATATATCTCCAGCATAACACTGATCATGTGTCGTATTTGATCTACACAGACCTAATTACTGCACAGTGATAAGTAATGTTCTCACCACAATAACTTTAACATATGCTACATGTTTTTCAGTTAAAATGTCAATTTATGAAATAATAGAAGACTGTCAGCATGGAGTTGTAACACAAATTATTGTTTAAAGGTTACTGGAACATTATCTTCCTCTGGATGGTACCTTCATAACATGAATTAAATTGCCAGAAAGTCCCCTTGGTCACAACTTGTTCACAAATATATGTTACCGTCCTCTCAAGATTTTTTTTTAAAGTGACTCTCATTTGTTTGTACTTGAAGACCCACTTGACATTGTACTAGCGAGGCACCACTTGATGTATCGCTGATTAGGTGGGGCCCAAACAACTAAATAAGGAGTCGGAAGTTCATCTCAATGTACAGCTCTTATCTCTTGTTTCAGAGGACCAGGGTTTTAAAAATACATTAAAGTTTTGTTTTTTTAATTGACTACTTCACTCTCATTACACTAATGTTTTGTTTGATTTTTATTATTAGATAACTCAAGTTGAATGTTTAAATTTACAAGGATACACTTTCTCACAAATTGATGACATATTATCTAGATCATTGGCATTTTCAACATTAGCTATGTCAAGTAGACAACTGAATTACTTCTGTTGTTCCATCTGTCTGTCTCTGTGTTTGTCCGTCTGTCTGTCCATTTGTCTGTCTGTCTGGTTTTCGATAATAATTCAGTACAGGTGCTACAGGTTTCCCTATTAGGCGAACCTTACAATATCCTAACCAAGCACTCCGGCTGAAATGACAATTTTCCTTTTCATTGATCATGGCTGATTACCTTTAATTCAACTGTAAAGATTTTCACTGGTCTGTAAATAAGTTTGTTTGTGGCAGATTGTCCACAACCACAGTGTTTATTTACAGAAGCAAGGACACATTGATAAGAAATAACAAAAGATTGTATAAATGATAAAGATATATGTAGGTATATAAAGTTCATATCTCAAGTATCCAGACCATTCATATCAGAGATAGGGACAAACTATGGAGAGTCATTCTCCGACAAGACATTTATCCTTACACCTCACCAGACACAGACCTGCCATGGATCACCATGAATTTCTCCACCATCATCCACAACTGATGAAGATTTTATTCCTTTTCAGAAAGCAGAATAATATGGATGGGAGCCTGTATTGTGACAATCATATTCCAGCCATGCCTAAACCACCCCTGGCTTCAGGAAAACCTAGGATCCCCTCCTCTCCAGATGATCAGGAGGTCAGTTGCTCACTTATATATTGAAGTATTTCTGATACACAGTGTTTATAAAAAAATGTATTTGATATGTAGAATTTTCGCAAAAAAAGTTTGTCACTGGTTAGATACCAACCTCACCTACTGGGTCAGTCCAGTGAGAAAGCCTTTGTCAGTTCTAAAAAATTTCTTGATATTTACCACTCTCAAAAACTTTTGGTTAGATTAATATAGTGTTTTATAGCAAAGTCATTTTGTGTATACAGTTAAGGTTGGTAGACCCTCTGATAAGAGAGATAACTCCTTACTGGGATAAGTGACATTCCTTTGTAAAGGACACTTTCAATCTCATCTCTGTCAAAGTTGGCCCCACAGGGTAACTGATATTGTGTGTACTAATGTTACAAATTAGAATTCCTGTGGAAAATCATTAGCATTAAAGCCAAACTTTATAAGAATGGACAGGGGGTGGATGAACCTAAAGTAAAATAATCAGATAAAGAAAGAAATGGACTTATTCCAATTATAAAGCAAGTAAAGGTTGTACACCTAGAAATTACCATAAAATCACTGACTACCCTTATAAAGAATGGTTATGTGTATTCTTTGAGGTTGTTTTATGGCTTTGTATGACTTCATTAAGGTATTGTTGTATTGTAGCTGGACACCTTTGAGATGCTGATTAATTATCAGGAGAGGAGTCGAATGGACGACCAGAGATGTGATATCAGCTCCTTCATACCAAAGGTAAATCACGGCAACCAGAGGTCAGGGGGCACTGACCAATCAGGGACTGACCCTCAAAGGTCATCCCTCGGAATGTTTATTTATAGAAAAAAATAATTAAAATTAACTAATTGGAAGGAAATCAGAGTTGAACAGAATCATCCACATGTAGACCCATTCACAGACCCTTACTTACATGTAATAACATCCCATATTTTAAATTGCAACAGTTTAATCCAAATTAATCAGAAATGATACTAATTGATCCATGATATGTTATTGACGTTAATATGGACTAACATGCTTGTAAGGAATAACCTTTAATTGCCCTGTCCTGTTTCTACTAAAAATACTCTGTTGATGGAAGATTGATGAAATCTTGTAGGGCGCTTCTGCCGAGTTTTATGAATATGTCCTGAATTTCCAAAGTCGGGGACGACTGGAAGACCAGCGGTGTGCAATGCCTGAAAACCCTAAGGTTGGGGGTTCAAATCTCCAGTATATCCCTCTGTTGTCTGCTTGTTCTCAGTGTATCACAGGCATTTTGTGGCGACTCTTTTTGAATATCTATTCATATCTTCTCTGTGCTTCCTAAAATTAAAAGTTTACCAAACGCAATGCCATAACCTATTGTCAATAAAAACCTTAAGTTCAGCATATTATATAAATATATATTTCCTCTGTGGGCAAACTTCTGTTTATTTTGCATTTTTTCTTCTTTATATCTGAATAGTTTATATGACCAAATAAACTGTTATTTTCAGATTTCTAAAGATTATTTAACCAATTTAAGTTTTTTACATTCAGTTTTGCATGCTTTTAACCTTTTTAAAAATAAAAAGTAGCTGGGTCAAGTTTATATAGGTATATAAGCATGTTGTGTCGTGATATGTCAAATGTCACACGCCTGGCGTGGCTGCCTCCGCGTTAGGAGGACGTGAACAGGAAGTCGTCCATGTGACAGGGGTGTCAGCTCGTAGATCGTGAGAATTAGTAGAACAATGCCTTTTTTAATGTTGTTATGATGTGTAGAAGTATTTGTTACATGATATATTTTTGATTTTCCCAAGTATGGTTATTTGTCATGTTTTAATTAATGATTTTTTGAACAAGCATAGAGAACGTGTCTCTTTGTTACTATAAAAAAAACTCTATTATTGTAATACACGTGTAAAACAGAAGTCCATGGAATAACATGTAGATAGGTGTCCTCAGTATTGAAATGATAAGAAAATTCATAGATAATGTGGTCATTGTATAATGCTTAATATATAATGTCTCCACTGCATGTAACTGACAATACAGGACCCACTGACAGACTCTGTAATTGGCAGTATGACCCAGTTTAGTCTTTACTAATATCTGTAATTGGCAGTATGACCTAATTATAGACCTACCTTCTGTGACTGACATGACAGTCTTTTGACTTCATTGACACCTGGGTATCGGAGAAGTTCCGTCCTTCCCAGAAATTGAAGCTATTTGTCTCATGAGGTGCTGATTGACACTTCTGAAGTAACTGTACTTTATAGAATCTGTTTCTTACATTGTAGGCTCCTTTAACTCCCACTCAAATAGAGCAACGAAAAACCATGGAACAAATGGAGCAGGTACTTATACAAGTTTAATGGAAACCCATTGTGGAAATAAATACTAGTGTAACGTTACAAACTAAATACAAATTTAAATACATACTGTAAATGTATTATATTTGGTGTGTACGATATTTGAATATATTTTTCAACAAATACAAAAATTTGATTTGAAATTTTGAATGTGCTAGATATACCTGTATGATATACAAAGCATTTAGCTATGTACTTGATTTAGCGGACTGCTTACCGCCAAAATCGCTATTAGAATACACCGCTAAATGTAATACGTTTAAAGTAATTATCACCTATTACATCTTATCCTTCAAATGAATATATTTTTCTTTAAAAAATACAAAAATTCTTTTGAAATTTTAAATTTTAACTGGAAAACCCAATTAAACAAAAATTCTTGTCACACAATCTTTCAGATTCTTCGGGACCCTGCACCGTACCCCATGGTTTACCTCCCCTCCAATGTGGGGTATTTTTGCGTAATTACGCTAGACAATGAGCTTGCGAAAATTTCATTCTTGCATTTAAAAGTATTCCTTAGGATTATATATAAGAAAAGCAACAATTTGTGAAAATTATGCCACAGCATACAGGAAGTACTTCATGGGTCAGGTGAGAGGTAAATCTCCAAATAAGGAGGTTATTATGATAAGAGTTTATAGAAAAATGGATGTGTATATTTTTAAATGAAAGGATGATGAAGGAATCACCTCTAAATTCAAGTTTACTAAACTTACAATTAAAGGGAAATAACTCTAACATTAAATAGTAAAAATCTTCAAGGATGAGAGCAAATTTAACAGTTACCGTTGTTTTAGCCTCATTTTATTTGCTGTAAGTCTGTAATGACTGTTTTTCCCACAGGAACACTTTGATTACTATGGACAGGATCCAATCCTGGGGCCTCTTGTCCTGTCACTCAAGGAGGAGATCACAGAAAAAGAGGAGGAGACAATACGCTGTGTATTTAGGTACGTACTATACAATACTATACAATTTTATACAATACGGTTTGACTCCATGTCTTATTCAAATTGAAAATGCATACTCTTGATTTCAAATTGTCTAATTTTACCAAATTTTTTTTTAATCATGTTTTTCAACAAGTAAATATAACCTGTTTTACCAATGTGTGTATTCTTCACAACAGAACAAAGTCTAGCTCCCAGCACAAAGTCATTCCCTATGAACAGCTGGACAACATTCCAAATCCTGTCAAAGTCGCCAAGGTAACCCAGGAGAGATAACTCTTAAAGTATTGAAATATTGAAGCAAATTCTCATATTATTAAAATAATCATTTATCCTGCTTTTTCAATTCACTATCTTGGATTTCAGTGTTTTTGTGAGGAGATAACGTGTGAGAAGTTTGACCCTGTGTTAACGACTAAAGGCTCCAGCTTAATCGTCCAGTTTGATGAACACAACCTCACAAACCTGTACAAATTTGGAATCATCTGCCAGAAATTTAGACAGGTATTCAAAATTCAAAATTTAAAATCATTTGAGTTTATAATTTGTTTTCCTGCTTGTGTATTGTATGTAGGTTGATAATGAATTTTAAATTGCAGACAAAATTATTTATGTCTATATATAATTATCATGTTCTCTTTTGTCTATTTTGTGTTAAAATGAGATATGATATTTCAAAATGAAAATGAATTGATTTCAAGACATTTTATTGTGAATTGAATGTTTACCTGCTTTCATATGTGTTTAATGTTTGATGTTATAAATGATTGATTTCAGACAAAGGAGGAGCAGTTGTTCAGTAACCGAGATCACAGTGAAAGTATGGAGGAGTTCCTAAGTCTGATAGGGGACAGGGTGCCACTCAAGGCCTTCCAGGGGTCAGTATACAGGAGGGGGAGGGGGGATGGCTGATTGGGGACAGGGTGACACTCAAGGCCTTCCAGGGGTCAGTTTACAGGAGGGGGAGGGAGGGGGGGTGGCTGATCGGGGACAGGGTGACACTCAAAGCCTTTTAGGGGTCAGTACAGGGGGAGGGGGGGCTGAAATAGAAAAAAAAAGAAAAGTAAAACTTGGTTATAACGAAGTCACTGGGACCAAAGAAATTACTTCGCTATATCTGTAATTCGTTTTATCCGTATAAGAAATATATTAGATTTATATAGTTGGGAATCTAAAATGACTTTGCTATATCCGTGTATTCACAATATCCATGTTCGTACTAACCGAGTTTTACTGTATTACTTTAACTTCCAAGGGTCAGTTGCAGCTGATCTAAGGGTTACTGTAAAACACTTTTTATTCGTGAGAAGTTTATTTTAGTGTAATTATGCGAGTCTGTCTGCTCGCAAAATTTTTATTCTCGCGTATATTAGTATTATTTATATTTATATACAACAGAAACTACAGCTTGCGAAAATTTTGTCTCGTTAATAAATACCAAATAACTAAGTCGCGGAAATAAGGTGTTGCAAAAAATTAAGTGATCAAAAGTATTTTAAATGACAATTTTATTTTAAAGTAAAGATACTTTCCTGTATCTACTACTTTGTATATAGATGCAGTTATGTGGGTAGTAATAAACTGGTCTTCCTTAACAGGTACAGAGGGGGACTAGACACAGTTCATGGTCAGACAGGGGAGGACTCAGTGTATACCAACTATCAGGGGAGAGAAATCATGTTCCACGTGTCCACACTCCTCCCCTACACAGATGGAGATCCACAACAGGTAAATAAAAAAATACTCTTGTATTTGTTGAACAAATAATGACTGCTCCCTTCTACTGTAGAAGCACAAATTTTCGTGGGCATAAAATTTTGTTGTTTTGTCATCAAAAATAATTTTGTGTGCATTTAATTTCGTTGTTTTAAAACTAACCCTACTCAATATATAGTCATATAAAATTTCGTATGGGATTTAATTTTGTTGAATTTTGTTAACAACGAAATAAACGAAATTTAATCCCCCATGAATATTTGTGCTTTTACAGTATATCCTGTTCATGCCATAATACCTGCAGTAATGATTTCTACAAATTCACCAAACTTATATTTTTCTTATAGCTACAGAGAAAGCGACACATAGGGAATGATATTGTAGCCATAGTTTTCCAGGAAGAAAATACTCCATTTGTGCCAAACATGATTGCCTCCCATTTCTTACATGCTTTCATCGTAGTTCAGCCATTTACTGAAGATGGAGTAACCAGATACAAGGTACCACACATTTCCTTCTACTCCATCATTTGGTCTTTTACTTTTGTATAGTTTTGTATGTTTGTGATTAGATGGTAAATTTGGTTATTCCTTTTTTGCTTAGGTTGCCGTGGCAGCTCGCAGTGATGTACCTAAGTTTGGTCCACCATTACCCAATCCAGCAATATTTGAGAAGGTCATTCATGACTTTAAATCTCACTATGTTAACAGTTTGTAATCAGAGAAAATTAATAACTTACTCTATTCAAGTTTAATTCATGCACTGTTATTGGATACTCTAATTTCTACTTACAGGGGCCAGAGTTTCGAGATTTTATTCTCACTAAACTCATCAATGCGGAGACAGCTTGTTACAAGGCAGAACAGTTTGCAAAGCTTGAGGTAAAATGAAATTAATGTTCAGAATAATGTAAAAATTAATACCCTTGTGTAAAGCTGAAAATTATAGACTCATTTCTTTATGATTTGAAAAAAAACTATATGTAACATTTCATCTTTTTGCCATATCTTACTAGGAGAGGACACGCACAGCTCTTCTGGAGGTTTTACTACAGGACCTGTCACGGAAAACTAACGAACTGTTTGGGACCAGCTCCCCTAGCGCTAATTCTGCCAAAGAGAACCGTAACTTTATGGACAACATTAAGAGGGCGCTCAGTAAGAAGGAGTCGCGGTCCTCAGAGTCCAGCGGGAGGAAGTCTAATGGGTCGTCATCACTGGCCCCCGTAGGGGAGGATTTATCTAGTGTAAGTAGGTCATATAGGGTCAAAGGTTATCTGTTATTTATGGGGAAAATTTGTATTTTATTTTCTTGCAGAAAAATATTTGCATTGATAATATATGATCAACCATCACTCAATATAAATTATCATCATAGTCCTTTTGGTGGTTATTACTCTTTAGCTGTCTGGAGGTGGTGAAATCTCTGTATTGTTTTATCCAAATATTTATTAATTGAAGAATTGTGATATTAGCACTGAAAATTATTTATCATTATTGATAACACCTTTGGTGATCATTTCATTCTGATTTTTTCAGCCAAAGAAATCGCCGAGCTCCATTAAGAAGAGTGGTCGCCACAGTCTGGAGAGAAGATTTGCTGAGAAGAATCAGTAAGTTATTACTCAAATAAAATAATGAAGCCATACTCCATATCCTCTCTGTAATCTCAAAACATGCTTTAATACATGTAAAATTCAAAGTATGCAAGCTTCTTGAAATAGTATTATAGATTATTGCATGTCCTATTTAACTGTGTGTGTAACCTCCCTTGATTTCTGCATGGATTGTCTGCCCCTGTTTCAGATTTCAGCGTTTTGACAGTCACAGTACCCAGTCGTCGTACAAAACGTGTAGCGTTCCCAACAGTCCACAGTCCAGTCCTAGTTCTACAGCGTCCGCGTCAAGGTATATACTGGACGGGGGCGAGCACTGATTATATGTTTATATAAAAACATTATGTCACTACAATGGAATTAAATTTTTTTCCTTATTAAGTTTGAAAAACAAATCTGATGTTTTAAATATTTTGAAATTCATTTATTTATAAAGGATACAATATGATCTGTTCCTATCTGTACTGTCGTAGAGATTCGGTAGAACATTAGATATAAGCTATTTAATTACCTCTCACAAAATTGGAAAGCCAACTAGAAATCCATTTTGACAGAGATCTCTATGACATATTCTTTCTGCATGTTGTTTTGCATGGCATTGAATATTTTATAATACCCATTTTACCCTGTGCTTGTGTTGGTTAGAGATAATAAAAATATCTGCTCTATATTTCTGAAAAAATTTCAATCCAAATTTAATAGATTATCATTGATGAGCGGAATTGTTCATAGAGGAAATTTGGTTATAAGGACTATTCGCATAGCATATTATCAAGATACCATATAATCTGATGCACTGTTTAGTTGTGTTTAGGAGTTAATGACAGATTGGCTAATTTTACAGGATAACAGGCTTCCAGCAGTTATCTCCCTCTAACTCTGAGAGCTCGTTTAACAGTATAGAGGATTTCTCTAATGGTCAGAGTGGTCATCAGAACCATGAGGACTCAGACACCGGCATGGTCAGTACAACACAGTCTGTACTGTTAAATTTTATTCAGAAAATAAAATCTGTCGTAACCATATCTGATTCATTTTTAAGAAATCAGTGCAAAGGACCATAACTCTGTCTAATGCCAACAGTATTATTTACTTTTCTTGGCACTGACCATTATTGTGGCTCTACAATAATATTTATTTTATGGTTCTATTTATAGGAGAGTATGTCCTCAGCAGGGACCCCCTGTAATACTCATATGAAGACCTCGGTGTCTAACAGTCTCAGTGAAGATAGTTGTGGTTGTGTATTCATACCTCTGGAAGGCGAAGGTAGGGAACCCAAAGACATACCATTTTCATGATGTCAGCAGGCAGAAATATTTAGAATATAATTGATGACATTGGTCCATTTTAATTTTATATGAATAATTTCAGGTTACGAGAACTTGAACAGACATACAGAACACCTCACTGCTGAAATTCAGAAACTCAAAAAGGAAAAGAAGGTAAAACCAAAATAGTTCAGTCAAATGCTCTAAAAGTTTTATGACGTAAATTCTAACAAACACTTTTTTTGTTTTCTATAGGCGAGTCAGAGGGAGATCCAGAGCCTTAAGGACCGTGAGTCTCAGATGATGATCGAGCTACGCACCGCTCAACAGGAACTCCATAAACTCAGGCTCAATGTGATTGCAGGCGTCAGTCACTTCGAGGCCACTGTGTGATCCACTCCACTGTTGTACTCTAGAAATCATGTGACGCTTCACAGGTCAGGGATGTTAACGATAACTGGCCTGTCTGCAGGACATCAGAGGACACTATACGCACAGTGAGGTTAAAATGTTGTCTGTGCTAGATACTTGACCAAGGACTGTGTTCTCACAGACAGTTATGGTCAGGTGAGGGGATGTGATCGTATCCCAGTTTATAGCTACACAGATATTTCCTCCAGATTGTGTGGGTGAACCCTGTCCCAGTCCAGATACATGACACAAACTGATATTTAGGGCTTCTTCATTACAACTTCATTGAATGGTGTCATCTCTCCAGAACGTGAGATAATGAGATGTGATTGACTGAGATAACTCCATCACTTAATCATCTGAAACACTACCATGAGATTGAGATGTTGTGTACTTCTAGTCAAATACCTGAGGATTATTTTGTTAAATGCTCTAATCATGTTATACCAGCACTGACTTGAGTTGGTCAAATTGTTGATGCTTTGTTCTGTTGATATCTGACAATCAAAATAGTTATGATGTCATCTTCTGCTTTCTCCCTGTTAGAGACTGCCAGCTAGGCGGAGAGAATGGTTGTTTACTATATACATAGAAATCGGTTTCTTATGTTAATACAAATATATTTTATGTGTTCAATTATCCCAGAAAAATTAGATTGTACAGTTCCATCATTTCTTAATTTACAAAATGTTAGTTTTTTTTATCCCGTTTTTGAAAGTCCCAATGTTAAAATAAAAAACAGAAACTGAAAGTAGAGAAACTCTTTAATAAAACTAAACTTTATTGTAGAGTTTTCAAATTTTTAAAGTGTTGAGTATAATATTAAATCAAAGGATGCTTCCTAATTAAATATTGAATAAGAACTACTTTGAACAAGTTAAATGTATATATCCTATGTAAAAGTAGGATCATTTTTTTTAAAAATGTGATGTGTGTGCTTTTGTGAGAACCAGTGCTTCTTGTGAACCAGCTGTATGTGTGAACCAGCGGTATTTTTGAACAAGAAAGTGTGAACAAGATGTGTGTGTGTGAGCCTGGCCTGTGATATGAGAATTTTATAAGTGAGTTATTTGAATGTGAGTTGTTGATGCATGAGTTGTTTTCTTATTAAGAATATCTGGTGCTACTTGCTCTGTTAAGTTTGTGCAATATTTTGTAAATAAGATTCTATATTTAAGGACAAACATGTGTTCAATGATCAGATTCCACATTACCAAGCTCTGGTAAATAAATTACATGTCAACTCTTTCTTATGTTCTGTTGTTTGTAAAGAAAGCTTTATTTTACTTCATTTGTAAAGATTGGAACAACTTATTTGCAGTTTTACTAAGTTTTTGGTTATAGTTGAGAGAATAATCAGCGTATGGAATGAAATATATGAAAGATAACAAATGATATAGAAGCTCAAAAGGCAATTCAGTGTATACAAATCAGAAGCAAAAGCAAACATGTAAACCTCAAAATATCAGAGATTTGATCAGGTGCCATGGAGGAGTAAGCATCTCCTGCTGACTGGTCATGCCTGCTGTGAGCTCTTTGAAATGATGGGGAAATAATTAGAAAATCCGTAGACAATTCTATATGTTAATAATTGTCTAACAATTACGGTAGTATGAAAAATGTCTTTCAGCATTTGACTAATGATAGACTGTATATGCTGACAAGGTCATTGTATCGACCATAAAAGTTACAAATTGATGACTTTTGACAAGACTCTTTATGTTCTTGTTTCAACAATTTAATTGTAATCAACAACTAGTGCTAATTGTAACGGGGACCGTTACAGATGTTCCCCAAACGCTCCCCAACTCCCTTTTGGTGCCATATTCCCTGTTATCTCTATTAAATAAGAAATACTTTATGGAATTTAGACTTAATCAAGGTCTTCCAAGAAAAATACAAAATATATTAAAAAATAGGCATTGCACGCGTGTTCATGTGCGTAACGACCATATTATCTTGTCTACACTATCTAAAATTTTAATAATATCAAAGCATTTAATCCAAAAGTATTAAAAAATGCACTCATTCGAGTGTATTTTTTATTTTACTCATTTCACGTGCAAGCACGTGCATAATGACTACACCTTCTTGTAGGAGTCCCTTATATTTATCCAAGTTCTAAATCCCATCCTGTTTGGTTGAAAAACAAGAGAGTTATAGCCATTTGAAGTTTCAGCCAATCAGATTGCAGCACACGTGCATGCGCGTGATTTCATGAATATTTTCTATATCATATTTTAGGATATCGTAATGCATGACTATGTTTAAAATTTCAAAGCATTTTGTCAAAAAACAAAGGAGATATTGCCATTTAAAGTTTTAGCCAATCAGATTACAGCACGCGCGCATGCGCATGCTTTTATTAAAATTTCAATATACCATGCTGTAGATCTTCATAATGTAGGACCATGTTCAAAATTTCAAAAGATTATGACAAGAAACAAGAAAGATATTGAGACTTTAGTTTCAGCCAATCAGAGCGAAGCGCACGTGCATGCGCGTGAGATCTTGCTATTTTGACCATGCCATCTTGTCTATACTACTAATGTATCCTTACATTATGAGTTTAAAAGCATTTTATCAAAAAATAGAATAGTTCCGACTATATCTATTATATTGGTTATTTCAAGTGTTGCACGTGCGCGCTCTTGCAAGCACGTGCGCGCAAAATGACCTTGATTCCGCAAATCTGCATAACATGTCTACTTACCCTAAAAAGGTTTTACCTACCTAGGACGAACAGTTTACAAGATCATTCCCGGACAAAAAAGTACCCAGGAAGAAGAAGAAGAAAAATAATAATAATAATAATAATAAGAAACAGAGTAAAAACAATATGTTCCCCAACTTCGTTTGGGGAACATAACAAACCTTATTTTAGAAATTGTTCATATTTAGGCCTTGAAATTCATTCCATATTTCAATATTTATATGAGTGCAAAGCATGAGTGAAAATGTCCAAAAACCTGTCTCATCAAATAAAATGAACTCAATATCCAACTATAAAATGTTGAATTTTCTGGTTTTTTTTTTTTTTTTTTTTTACATTTTCTTCGAATCTGCATGACCACCCCATTCATCAAACCATCCATACACTGTGTTTACCTATACAGCAGACAATCTGTTTTTCTGCTTGACAGAATTTTCTCCTGCAGCTCCATCCTGGAAAGTAATTTTTTAGGTCACCTAGCGAATGATGCAGGGAGCAAGGATTAATTCCCAGACTATATATTCATTTCATTCCCTATTGCATTATTTGTTGCTTCACGCGCGTGTGGGGACCCTCTAGAATTGATAGCATTCTAAGGAGTTTATCCTTACGTAGCAGGTTGAGGTTTTCTGATCAAAATTTGTCCGTTGTCTGTCGTTGTCATTGTTGTAGTCGTAAATTTATCACATTTTCCTCTTCATCCTAAGAACCACTGTGCCAATTTCAAACAAACTTGCCACAAAGTATCCTTAGGTGAAGGCCATTCAAGTATGTTCAAATGAAGGACCAAGTCCTATCCCAAGGGAAATAATTATGAATGAATGAAAAATTAATGGTATTTTTAAAAAATCTTCTCAAGAACAATTGGGTCCGGAAAGATTAAACTCATGTGGAAGCATCATAAGGTAGTGTAGATTCAAGTTTGTTCAAATCATGACCCCTGGGGTTAGGACGGGGCCACAATGGCTGATCAAATTTTGCATAGGAATTCGTAGGAAAAATCTTTTTAAAATCGTCTTCTCAAGATCACCAAAGCCATGATTGATATCAATATGGAAACATCCTCAATTACAGTTGTTTCAACTTTATTTGTTCATATCATGACCCCTGGGGGTAGGTTGGGGCCATAATGGGCAATCAAAGTTTTACAAAGAAATGTATTGGAAAAAACGTAATTTTTGATATCAAAAATTCGAATTCTTGATATCAAAAAATATTAGTCATTTTCTGATATCAAAAATTCGAATTTCTGATATAAAGAAATCATTTTCTGATATCAAAAATCGATTTTCTGATATCAAATGATTTTTTGATATCAGGAATTCAAATTAATTTGTTGATATCACAAAATGTATTTTTTGATATCAGAAAATTAAATAAAATGGCGAAGAATCTTCACATAAGTAAAGAATACTAGTACTCCCTTGAACTGTTGAATATCCCGAACTTCAGTTTCAGATTTGCTTCCTACAAAAATTTGTTGATTTCAGATTTTAAGAATATTTTTTTTAATGAAAGAATTTAATAAATGTTATAGATATTTTTCGGTCATATTTATTTGCATGGAATTCAAATATAATACTTTCTGGGATAAATCTGCGTAAATAATCTAGGTGTGCATTAGGTCGGACTTTGACTGAGAACTTCTCTATAACCACTTTTAACAGCAGCCATTAGCCTCTCCAATTGCATATCAAAATTTTGTGTCAAGTGATGTTACATCACAGCTGACCAGCAAGTACTCGTTGTGTGCTCACAGAAGTTCATTCTTCATTGTGAAGTCTGAGCTATCCATAAAGTTTGTGCTTAAGTTACTAGTATGTGTAGAAACTAAATGATTAAAAATATCAATGTCAATGGTGCTAATTAAAGTACGACGGCATCAAGACCTGTCTTAAATTTATTAGAACCCTGTGCAAAAGACGGCAGCATCCTTAAATCTAGACAAGTCATTAACGTATTAGAACCAAACAAAGTTCGCTAAAAATTTGTGTAGCGGAAAGCTGAATGTTCTTGAAGGGGAACATTCATTAAGTCGATCTTAATTTTACGTGGTTCTTATTTTCTGATATCAAAAAATCGATTTTGTGATATCAGAAAATACTTATAATTTTTTGATATCAAAAAAGGGAATTTCTGATATCAAAAAATGATTTTCTGACATCAAGAAATTCATTTCTTGATGTCAGAAAATATACGTTATTTTATGATATCAAGAATTCGAATCAAAAAAGTGATTTCTTGATATCAAGAATTCTTGATTATTTTTTTTATCTCAGAAAATGATTTTCTTATATCAAAAATTCGATTTCTTCATATATAAAAAAAAATAATCATTTTTTGATATCAGAAATTCCCTTTTTTGATCTAAAAAAATAAGCAAGATTTTTTGATATAAAAAATTCGAATTTCTGATATCAGAAAATCATTTTCTGATATCAAGAATTCTTAAATTTAATCCAATTTGTTCCTGGGAGGGCTGGGGGTGGGGGTGGGGGTGGGGGAATATATATAGTGTAAGAATATTTTGATTTACTGAAATGAAAAATTTTAATTTACTGTGTCTGATTAGAGTTAACTTTAGTAAACTATAGTTAACTATGATAGTATTTATTTTGTTGGGGGGGGGGGGGGTGTCGGGAGGATTTCCTTACAAATGCCCTAGTTTCCTAGAGGGGTCCAATACAGTACCATTATTTTTAGTAACAGAGTATAATGAATATCTTTTATTTTAAATTCCATTTTATTATTTTATACAGAAGGTAAATATAAAATGAAAGAAGATTTAAATGGGTTTTTCTTTTCTATTTATAGAACCTGGTAATTTTCATAATTTATCTGTAAAAATGGATTCTTTCAGAACTTCACCAATGTGAGTTTTAATTAATATTTGTGTACTACCACGTAGCACATTTCTTAAAATTTCTTCTATTTCGCTCTTTGTAAATTTATTGATATGTTGAGAACAATTGATCATGATATACATGTAAACATTTTTAAAAGAGTGAACTTTTATTCAAAAGTAAGAGTAATTCTTCAAGGCTGAGAGTAAAACCAAAAAATATAATTTTATCAATATTATGTAATTATTGAATGGTTAACTAAATGGCATTTATCATATTTATCAAGACATTTTAAATTCTCCTTAAATTATTATTAGAAAGACAGCCCTACAACATATGTCCGAGTCGGTATTCATGGTTCTATGTGTTAAGCTTGGGACTGCACAACAGGTGGCCATGAGGAGAGATGTGGAGGAAATCAGTAATATAGTAGTAAATCAAGTGATAAAAAGTAAAGAGGACAGTGAAATGCGGAGTGGAAGTCGCAGAGAATGTCTCGGAATGGAAAGATCAGATGTGGATTATATGATCTGGCCAAAAAACCACTGTGTGATCTGGGAATTATCTCAGTCTCAGTATTATAACACAAACAGACAGACACTGATCCTCTGTGACTGTTCTGATAGTCCACCAGGATACACATTGTTATATTTATTGACACCAAGCATGCGCAGAGAAATCCAGAGAGCCTGTGTTAGAATGAATAACAGGAATTATATTTCCAGTTCGGAATACAGAAAGATTCAGTGTTCTGGAGGTTTAACTACAGGGTTTTCTGACTCCGTTCCACATGGACCTTGTGTCAGTGCATTCTATGGAACACTTGAATGTGATTTTGCCTTCTGTTTTGCTAGTGACTTTTGGCCTCCATCTGCCTCCTCATGGATAGACAGATGCCACTCATGGCCCCAGCCTCGTGTTGTTGATAATATAGTTAAAAATGGATGTCACTTTGTAGCAATAGGCCATACACTAGGACATCATGTGCACAATGAATGGAGAATTTCTTTCTCTTTTGCAGAACATAAACTCGTGTGTGCTATGAATCACTGTCAATTTTTAACTTATGGCTTGCTTAAATTGTTCTTAACAGAAATAATCAACAAAGGAATAAGTGATGATGATAAATTACTGTGTTCCTATCACATGAAGACTGCAGTTTTCTGGATGATTCAACAGAATACATTACAACATTGGTGTCCACAAACTCTACTGGAGTGTTTCTGGGTTTGTTTTAAACTCATCCTTAAGTGGGTGTATGATGGGATCTGTCCTAACTTCTTCATTCCCCAAAACAACATGTTTCTGAGTAAAGTCCAAGGTGAAGCACAACATCAGCTATTTTTAAGACTTCATGGGTTGTATGAGAAGGGTTTAGCATTCCTGCTACACATTCCCTCCATTAGGTCTTGTATTATAAATGTCTTTCACAACCCCCACCTCGAGCTCTCCATCTGTACAGATAAACGTACCTTGATTTCTGAGATCAAGTGTGATATAGAGTTATTTGGGGAAATATATAAACAAAACACACGTTCCACATCAAACATACAAATCTGTATGAAATATCTTCATATAATAGAACAGATGATAGAATCACCCCTCCTAACACAATATCAAGTCGTGATGCTACAGAAATTTACAGCTACTGTTCTTAAGAAAACAGCTTTTATGTTATACATGGAACCTTATACACATAGAAATAAAGTAAGGTTTAGAGCTGACAAAATCTCCTGTCATATGCTGAAATTAGCAGCCAAGTTTGGTTGTATTTCTGATCTGTCATACATAGCTATGTATTATTACAACACACTTAGATACATGGAAGCTTTATCTATTATAGAGATGATCAAGGTCAAGTTAGCACAGCCATATGTGATGTATATGTTTCATGTAAATGTAGATATGTATATTGCGGCTGTAGGGGGAAAGTCCTGGTCTACAAAGATTAGACAGGCTGTAGCTTGGTATATTAAACTTGACAATAAACTCCAATTTATCAATGAATTAATACCAGAACAAATGTCTAATCAAAATGATATGCAAGGATTACATATTCCACCATTTGTTCTGTTATACATGCTAGAGATCTTGTGCTACAGACATGTAGACACAATGAGGGTACAAACAGCTCTAGATGATCTACAAACCCTAGTTCACTATGATCAGGATGATCTTATAGATGTAAAACTCGGAGACATATCGTGGCAGATTCTGGGGATCTGTCAACAGATTACAGGGAACCTCCAGGCTGCTCTATACTCATATAAACAATCTCTCAGACAAGAACCATTTCATAAAATACAAACAGCTACAGAAATGAGAATAAGTCAGATTATCATTAATTAGTAAAATGAATGATAGACCTTCTGATAGAATTAATAATTTTACATTTCCTCTCAATGTACTCATTTTTGAATGGTCATTTAATTGATTTAAAAATTACATTTCATTTAGAAATAGAGAAGTTTAGCAAACCAATCGTTGTACATGTAACAAGATTCCCCACCAGAAATCTCGATTTATATCCACTTACGTAAATGTAGACGGATGAATACTCGTAAATGATTTTTTTTTTTACATTTGCTTGTTTGCTGTTTGTATGTTTTTAAACCCTTCAAAGGACATGCCTCAATAAGGCTTATCTGTGGTCCGTTGTTACTCGCCAAATGTCAAACATTTATAGATATACGCAGCATACGAATCTGCGTGTTGAAGTTGAGGCCCTTTAAGGGCCCTCCACACCATGTGACTTGTGACGTATATAGAGAAAAATACTTTTACTTCCGTTTTTTTACTAGTTTGTACATAAACAATTTTGCCTGGTAAGAGAGTCTTTCAAACGCTTTAGAGATAAAGGTTTTGCTACGAGAAAAGTATGCAGTACGCTGAGAGCGACACACTAATTATTAACAATGAACACTGGGCACGATCACAGTACCGATGGAAAAAGATGTGCTGGTTTTTTTAAAAAATAAAACAGATGTCTGAGATTATGTTACATAATAATTCGTAAACAACGGTTACCGGAATGACGAGAAACCTTCAGGATATTTATACTTTCAGGCTCATCAACCGAGTCTGTTATGATAGTTTTTGCACACTAAATTGTGCGTTTCAATAATACATCATCTCATTGTGTGTTTATAAATATTGATAAAATAGTATGCGTTTCTATAGTTTTCCTCTTTTATGTCTGACCAGTTCAGAAGACAATAATGAGTAACTATAGTATGTTGACATATGGGGAGTTTTGGAGTCCCGGGCAACCTGAGAAATAACTCCAAAAAGGAACTTCGATACCAAAGATTTTTAAAATATATTTTCTACATCAGTGCATTTAATTTTAATTCAATTTTTTGATGTAATCTAATTCAAAAATGTTTCTTCTCTACAAAAGGAGTCTTTATTGATTTTTTTGAAAATGTCAGTTTTATGTACATTTTATAAATAAAATAAATTTCTGTAAAAAATATGTTGATCGATAAAATTTAAGTTTTAATGTTATTCTGTGAGCTTAAAATATAAGAAAGGGTAAGACAAAAATTGTAATGTTAGGTATGAAAACGCCTTGAGAAAAATTTCTTAAAACTTGTGAAATTATTATTTTGAAAAAATCAGTATAAATTACATTTTAATCCCAGGATAGTTTTTAAAGGTTGATACGGTTGTTAAAAGTAATGCTCAATAATAAAATAATAATTATATTATCATTATGATAATAATATAGTACATAAGCTGTGTGTGTGTGTAGGACCCTTAATTTTCATGAATATCAAAAGAAATCACTGACATGTACATATTTTTAAACTTTCGTAAACACCGAGCACAGGTTTGTTTAGAGTCGAGTTTGATAAATATAATGTGTATATTATATGTGTAAATCTTTGTTAAACAACCTTGTTCTCTATGATTTCTAATTAAAAAATTGTGATTTTGAACCTCTTCGAAGTCTTCATTTACGAACGATTAACCTGTTTATGGCCTGTTTAGCCACGTGGATTTGTGTCGTTACGTATAAATGTGATTAATTGTAAGCTCACAGTTGAAACGTACTCACACCCCTATTTATGTGTTCGGAACCTTTTATTTTTCGGTGTTCCGCAAATTTTAAAACTCAAGGTGTTCAGAGTAGCTCTGGCAGTGGCTCTGTCGAGAGTTCGCGAGACTTAAGCGAGATACGGTAAATTATTTACGGAAATGTGGCTAAAAAGTTACTAGCACGTGGAGACATGGTAAACAGAAAAGTTATGTTGCGTTTCAGTTTTCAACTTCCTATAATATCTGTAGAAATGTACTTCAATCGACCTCTCTTGATTTCATTCAAACTTAATTAATTATTCTTTATGATACATTTTTCTGCAGTCATTAATATAAATTTCTTTTTGGACAAATATTATTGCACGGGAACCGGGACCATATTGTTTGACGTCAGATAAGCAAATGAGGCACCAGCATGACTTTAACTGAAAAATCAGCTGAATGAGAATTGCATTATGGGTTACTACGAATACTAGTACTTAAGGAATTCCACGCTTGAAAAAAAAGGAAAATCTTATAGCGATCGGAAAGGCACAAAGACCATTTTTCCATCCATTTCGTAAATGAAAAGCATTTTTTAAATTTTCTATTATTTTCATGCTTACAATGACAAACCATTCATTTGTTCAATAAACGTGGACGTCTAGATCTCTCAGTCATACTGGAAAGCGTTTTCCTTACTCTTGAGGCGCTGGTGTTCCGTATTGAATCTGACACAAACTACATTTTATTAAACATATTTTTTTCTAGTAAACAAAATTAAAACGCCCGTGACATCTTTTTAGTTTCTAATCTTTGTATTTTGTTAACAGGAACATTTTCGTTTTATTATGCACCCCACTGACATGATCATAGAGTGACCTGAACCACGTGTTCGAAATAATATGAAAACATGTATTCTTGCATAAACGTTGCTATTCGTTCAACGATTGGTCAGTTGCTCGTGGTAAAATCCTCTGTGCATATTAAAGCTGAACACGATTCGTAAAAGGAATCTGTCCGCCATTTTTGTTCCCGAGTCTCGCCACTCTGCAGACCCCTATAAATAGGGTAGAACTTAGTCAATGTTCAGTGTAATCAGTCGACACCGGCGAAGACGGACGTATGCTATACAGAACTCGGTAGCGAGAAAAATAACGTAATACTTCGTCTAATGCAGGAAAATAAGATACCAGATAATTTTACAATTATATAAGTCAGTATTGTATAAGTTAGTGCAGTATGCGAACAACATTATAATCAATATAATCTTATTAATCTTATTATAGTGTTTCATTGCTCAAGTTTTGTAAATAGAAAAATATTATTTCTGGCTGATTGTGAATCTTGAACATAAAATTTGTCTTTAAAAGGAAAATGTACTGACACGCATAAGAAACGCAACACCCTACTTTAGGGTGAAATAATTTTGTAAAGTAAAAAATTTTGTATCTTAAAATTATGGACATCTTCAATTTGGTAAATAGCGGTTATTTAACAGTTGAACGATTTTCATACCATAACCGGAAGTCAAGTTTGAGTCTGTTTAACAGAAATCAAAAATTGCATGTTTAACAAAACATTTGGCAATATTATGCAGTTTTAAGGGTTTGTACTGTTCATCTTAAGTAAAGCAGCAATATTTTAAAAAATAAAATCGCCTTTCGTTTCCCGTAACGATGCTAAGGCTTCTTGAAATTGGCTTAAGTACGCATTTCCCTTGCTCTAGCTGGAAAATCTCAAAGTAAAGGTGATGGAGAGTTGATGCTGCAAAAATACAGTACACTACGCTTCAACGGGGTCTTACGTATTATATTTAAGGAATGTTTTTAAGTTTTGTGTGAGTTATTGGTGTGTGAATCACGCAGACTTGTCACGTAGGCATATTTCATGAAGCGCGTGAGTATACACGAAAATGGTTTTCAAATCAATTTCACAGTTTGCTTACTAGAAAAACACAGCGAATGTAAATATTCAAGTTCAAGTTCAAGTTCTTTATTGACTTTGAGCATTATAGCTCATCAGTACAAACAATATTCATAAATGAAGTTCAAGGGTTAAAACAATGCGCTAAGTTAGAGAAAATTCGACCTAATCATCGGATAAACAGGCATTAAAAAATGGCAAAGAATAATTCCTTCGCTCAGATCTCGATATTTATTAACCTGTCGTATCGAAGTAATTAAGCTGCTAATGTTATTTAGGACAGTCTTGCACGTTGTAATTGAATGGCTGGGAGGGGTGCTGTAAAAGTCATATGTTACTTAGTAAAGTTAAAAGATAAAATTTAACATTTTTATCAAATCTCTGATGTTCTGAAAAGTGCGTTTAGCTTTACTGTATTCTTTTTTAAAAATCATTCGATAAAAAATTCAAACATTTGTAGATAACTGCTTGTTGCGTTTCTCTTGCGTGTCAGTATATCATTTAAACAATAAAATGCTTTCCTTGTTTGTTATTACTGGAATTAACGGAAGCAGCTGTTGCAGAAAAAATACATAACCCGCGTAAGCCTTTGCCTTTGCTTATATCTAACCAGTAAAGCAAGGGTGTAAAAAGAGACCACGCTTCTATACTTAGTGGAATATTCCTTAATCAATTACTGATATCAAGAGTTAAATATCTACAAATTGAAAAAAAAAATTATATCATTCATGAAATATTACAAAATGGATGTCATTAATAGTGTAAAAACCAGAGTTCTGGCGCAGATACCTTATAATGGGCTCCTCACGGCTGCTTTGAGGAGCCGATGACGTCAATTAAAAACCATAGAAACACACACGCCCCCTTTTCCTTTGAATGATTTTAAACAAATCATCATTGAAAATCGATAACAAAAGATAATATTGATCTTAAATAAAACAATGTAATAAGAGAGTATCAAATAATAAAACAAAGAGAATAGATTGAAGTATCATTAAACAGATTTTTAATCAATAGATTATTAAAAGGACTGTTTCATTAAGAATCGGAAATTCCGCAACGTCATGGAAAACATTACAGCCATTGTTGAGGTAAACAAAAGGGACAATGTCGGTCAGATGAAACCCCTAAAATCGATTTAAAGGGATCACAGGGGTCTTTGTTGGTCCCTATTGGGGTTTTTCCATGACGTCAACGCATGATCTTCATCGTACTTTCAATCAATAAGGACATTAAATGCATTATTGTTCCCAGTGAGGATCGAACTGAATGAAGCATTTAAATAGAGCACTAGTCGACCGGAAAATTACAGGTAGAAACATGTCTCAACGAATA